TATATATATATATATAGAAAACCTTATTAGAAAATGCATACATATATACAAGACTAATTTCTTCCACTCATTTTTACCGTAATTTTCGTATTAATATCCGTATTATCGTTTGTAGACTGGGGTATTTATCGGACCCGTAATGTCGGTTCCAATCGTCCTATTCTCCGGCTTCTTCATTAATTTCAACGCCATTCCAAAATATTTGAAGTTCCTCTCGTACGTGAGTTACGTGAGGTACGGTTTCGAAGGTGCCATGATCTCCGTGTACGGTTACAATCGAGCGAAGCTCAAGTGTTCCGAGTACTACTGCCACTTTAAGAGTCCGACAAAGTTCCTCGAACAAATGTCCATGGAGAACGCGGTCTACTGGGTGGACGTTGTTGCCCTGGTCGGCTTCCTGCTCGGTCTCAGAGTGGTCGTTTACTTTGTGCTGAGACTCAAGCTGCGATCCCTTCGTTAAATTTTTTGACTGGTAGTCCAGGACAGACAATAATCACGACGCTGCGGCCGTCGTTGCAGCGGGACTGTGACCTGGATCTCAACGAAGATTACATTTTTTTTTAAACGTGTAAGACGAATGACAAAAGAGACGATCGCGCACAAAGGACAATTCGATCTCGAGATCGACAAGAATAGAATTGTCGCATTGAGCGGCAAAGATCGTCGCATGAAAGGAATATTGACGAAGAGAATACACACGCTTTTGAATAGAGATATGAGGGAACAAGGTAAATCAAGGTCGTCTTTGATTAAATCGTTTGACATACGAACTTTTTGATATGATAATTTAAGTCGTTAAATACCGCAAGATACTTAATTTTATGTTTGTCTTTATAAAAGTATAATATTTTTTATTGATTCCATTCATACACACACATGATATGTGTGCAGAATATTAATGCTTCGAAGAATGTTTAATTATTATTAATCGTAATGATTATGGCTTATGTTACCAAACTGAATCTGATCTCTGCCGTTGGCAAAAGAAAACAGTTTATCGTATTTTCTTTGTCCAAGTAAGAAATAGTTATCGCGACCAGAATTCAAATTTGATTAAAAACGGATCACAATCTAAATCGTCTATATAAGTAGACGTTTAAATAAATAGTACAGACAGGAGTTAGACTACTTTCAATCGTGTATTAACAACGTGTAGGTCGATCTGCGACGCCAAATACATTGGCTTTCCGGTATTAAATTAAAATCGCAAACGCGTTTATAGCCAATTACATACTATGAACTCGCCAGGAGCCTTAGGCCCATTCAAGACTCGTGTCCCTCCAACGAGCGCGTTTAAACGCGAACACGACAAAATAGAGGTTTCTATAGATAAGCAGAGTAGAACACAAGGATCGTTAAAACGAGTCTTTTATGATATTCCCATGTTAAATTATACATAGTTTGCTATACTTATTTCGACCGGTTATCTCGGAGATAAATAAATTGCGTACTTACGATCGTAATAATGTCCTCGGACAGACGAATAGAGGAAAATTGCGAAACTCGAAAGCACACTTGTTCGCGAGTAACATTTTCGTATTAACGATAGAAAGTGCTTATTCGATACGTCTCACATAATCACACACTCGATCTTTCTTCATATCGTAATTTCATCAAGAGTTTACCTAATAAATTATACAGTAATTATAAGGAAATAAGGGAAAAAAGAAAAGGGAAGAAATATGTTTATTGTAAAAAAGCTCACACATGACCAATCACTAGCTGCCTGAGCGTTGCTTCTAAGTGCGAGTGCTAAATATTGTTACACTTATACTATATAGTATATATGACTATTGGGAGGACATTGTGTATGTATAGCTGTATAAAACGAAAAACAAAAGATAGGTAGTATTCCGTGCATTAATGATATGTAATTAACTCATACTTATGTTTTATAATATTGTATGATTCTTTTTCACGGCCTATATACACAATTACATTCTGCACATTCATTTATCCGACGATTGACGAAAGGACAGAGATTAAAATTGTATTATAGATACTTTCAATTTAATTTATACACGATCAAGACTCGCTGCAAATGTTATTAAGACCAACTAATATGATCATGATATCAAGAAAAAGTTATAAACTTATAAGGAGCAAAGCAATTTATGCATCGGTTTTGTAGACAATATAAATGTAATTTTATTTATATTGAAGCATATTTTATTTCTATCTAAGAGATTGAGTTAAAACATATTTTAGTTATGGTATTTCTCTTATGCTATACATATAATAGCGAGATAGGTGTAACTTTAACAATAAAAATATGTTCTAGTTTTTGTCTGCATTAATGAGTGAATAGTGATAATGACAAAATGACAAGGCAATATATAGAATCTATCACGTGAAAATTATTTTATACATCATATTATTTCGTAGAACTTATAATTTCTTACATTATATCTCATTATATTAGTTTACTTATCAATCTCTCTTGCAATGTTTTTTATTATAATTATATATGATATTCGTTGATAATAAATATATTTTTTTAGCCAAATGATAATTACATTTATTGTTACGCATAAGTTATAGAAATCAGTATTTATACTTTGATATTATTTCTATTTTATTACATCATTTAATTACATTATTATTATATTATTATTTTTGTAAGCCAATTGTACATTAATATCATAATGAAACGCATACTCCCTTCGTTTTTTGCCAACCTGCGGTTGGCAGCAGTCGGGAGTAAAAATATTTAATTACCAAGGATTTTATGAAGAAGTCAAAATATTTTTTCTTAAAAACAATTATTTTTTTTATACCAATTGATTTGTCTCATTATTCTGAGTAAAAATATTTAAGATTAGTTCAAATCTTAATGAGATATTGATATATCGATTTTTTTAACGGTATAATATATTTTTAAATCGATCGTGCGATATCATCAATGCATTATCTTAACTATACAATGTTTCTTTCATGCTATATAAAACAGTTCGGTGAATTTAGAACAATTTTAGGTAATGTAATAATTATTAAGTTTTTTAAGGGATCTACATAGTTGCAATATACAATTAAATCATTTTTATTTCTCTTATTGAGTTATTTTGTTTGATTCAAAATTCATTAACCCTAAATATATGTATATTTCTCTGGAAGTATTCTCTCTAGGTTTTTATAAAAAAATATAGCTACCATAAAATATATTTTAGAAGCGTTAAAATATATATATAAGATCGATATACATATAATCAAACATCTTTTTTTTAAAGAACTTACGCATGTTTCTCATGTCATATAATTCTAATAATAAAGAAAAAAAGATCGATTAAAAAAAGATATGTGTATTAATCCATGGGACAGTAAATAAATTTCTATATTTTTAAATATTGTATAGTTATTTATTGTTTTGTTGTATGCGTTCAAAAGCAATGGTATGATTATCGTTCAGAGAGAGGATAATTTCAAAATGCCATACGACATATTACTTCAAATTATTACATATTCCTTTCGTATGCATTATTATATTACTAACTTAAATTTTACATGTTTCCTAATTATTTACTAAATAGACAATGAGTTTTATATAAAATACTAGAATGATTCTATCGCAAATCTAGAGCGACATTAACGAAATAAAAAAGAGAATGCAGATTATACGAGATTGTGATATCCATAAAAAAATTTTTGTCTGCCGCAACTGAAAATATCGAGATATTCGTAAGTGTATAAACCCAATAATAATTTTATATGCGTGATATATTATTGACCATTTTAATTATTAGCATGCTTACAGATCATATGTTGTTTGCAAAAGTTATTCCAGAAAAGGTACGCATTCTATCTTCATATATGTATAATAATAATACATGTAAATTTTTTTTTTTTTTTACGAAATCGCACTCATATCGAAATCTGAATGTGCAGTATTCTCTGATGTACAGATTATTTCTTAACGACTAATTCCAATTATACTGGTCGATCGTACTATAATTTTGCGCTTGTCAAAGTCCAGATTTCATGCAATGCTGCGCAAGAAATGGCTGAGCGAGGAGAAAGATTGGAATAATCATCGAATCGATTATTCGAATCGTATCGCGAATACGTGCGCATTGTGTTCAAGCTTCGTTCGAGCGTTATCGGTGTGAACTTTTTATTATAGCGATCTCGCTCGTTATGAAGCGCAAAATATAAGATACAAGTGTGTGCGCGTAGCATAGAAAAATCCATTCATAATTTGTCTCTTTTAGGATTATACATATATCTACATGTGTACACGCACATACGCACAGACACTTACATACACACATACACGCACATGTCAATGTATAATGCATAAAGTCAGACCCTAATACATCGCATACCAAATATCGCAATTTTTCAAGTACTGTAATTTTATATGACGGAAAGATTGTAAAAGAATGTGTGAATGAGCGTGCGAATGTACAAAGACATGAGAGATTAGGCCTGTAGAGGAAATCTTCTTTTTGAACCGACGAAAATTATACGAAGATGTTTCGCGTGATAAAAAAAAAACATCGCCGACCCTTGACGAACTGAAGCTAATGTACTTCGTATCTTGCGATTTTAGCAAGAGACGTCACGTTTATACTAAAGCACAAATGAATAAACAATTGTATTAATGGATGAATCATCTTCTTTGTCTAAGCCATCAAAATATTTAATAGTAGATATATCGGCGTTAAAAATTTTTTGCTAATGAAAAATTGACTCCGATTTGACTGATGTGTTTAAACACGAACTTTTCAGATATTATAGTACATAATATTCTGCACAATAGCATTCAAATTGTAATACAAAGTATATTTATAATGTAATTTATTGAGTTGTAAAGTTTGAATCGACGTCTCAGTGACGTATCGATATCACGTGACTGCACGACTGATGGAGATACAGGCCAGTCTTATTTTAAGCATGCCTTTAACGCGCAACGATGACTACTAGACTACCAACCTTGAATAAATTTGAATAATTTTAAATAACTTTGAATTTAATTTCGTTTTTCTTTTTTAAAAAGAATAAAAGATTTCTGTTTTTAAGTAGAAAAAAAGATTCTCTATAATTATTCGAATAATTAACAAAGTTTTCTAAAATCGTCTACGCAGGCGTCCTTTGCAGAATTTACTAGATATCCTTAGTTGGCATTTTCCATTCTCTCTTGGAACATTGACAAGATGTTATTTGATCCGCATGTGATCCAAGTTGGCAACAACCGCGCTTAGTGCAGCATTGCTAGTATTGCAACACGTTGTACAAGAGCTGTTCTATCGCGTGTGATTGCACAGTGAGATATAAGGATCGATAGAACATGGAGAAACCTATAGTTCGAGCGAGAGTGGTAAAGGTCCTTGGCAGGACGGGATCTCAAGGACAATGTACACAGGTCAAAGTGGAATTCTTGAATGAACAAAATAGGCAACTCATCAGAAACGTCAAAGGTCCCGTGCGAGAAGGAGATATTCTGACGCTTCTGGAATCCGAGCGAGAAGCAAGAAGACTTCGTTAAACCGAAAGGAATAATTATCACATGCCTTACGTAAAGAACTGGTGGAATTTCGGAACTTGATGTTGTAGCGACGAGTATACCGATAAAAAGAAAAGGCTATCATCAAAATAATAAAACAGAAAGAACTGTTTTATCATTTTTTATTTTGGAATAATGTATCAAATATATTTCCCTCCGCTTATGTTTATGAAAAATGAATTATGTTTTTTTTGCACCTAATTTATCATGCTAATAAATTAGTTAATGACATGTATATGTTTTATTTCACACACATGCATTATAATTTTAGATATGTCTAATTAAAAATATTTTTTATAAAGTTCGTAGAAAGAATTAAAAATAATCGCAGTTAAGTCAATGTTAATACAATGTTTATTGGTAACCTCTTTTTTTAATTGGATAAAATTTAATCAATTTCACAATGCGCCTCATTCTGCTCGCAAAATGGAAATACTTATGAATCTTCAACCAAGTTTTATATAAAAAGTCAATATTCAATATTTTGAATGTTTCAAACAAATCTGTTCATAATAATATAAAAATTTAATTATTATTTTATAAGAACTAATTTCACAATTTGTCAACAGCTGGTACTTGCAAGATGCATCAGTTCTTTAATGATTAGCAGTTAGCGATTACACCGATAATAGATAAAAATCATCAGTTACACAACATTAATCATGTTTTCTTTTCTGTCTATTTAAAGATAATCTCAATAATGATAAATTTTATCAATTTAAACAACATTAATTGCGTCGCATGTATGCTCTCCGCGTATAGAGTAGAGATTTTATTCAAATTCTTATCCCAAATAATAATCAAAATTATATATATTATACGTATATATATTACACGTGATAATATTATATTATATAACACATTCCTTTCAAAACCTTGACGACTCTGATAACCATCTTCAATTAAACAAAAAAAATATTCTGAAGTCCATCGTACTTATTGCAGATGTCAAGTTATCAAACTGGGGTCGAGTCAGCTAATTCATTGTCAATTAAACATTCGTCATGCGCACATGCAGGCAGTGTGCGAGCGTAAAGTACAGTCGGAAGAAGTACGTTAGTAGTAGCAGCGCGCATTCTCTTCGCCTTTCGCAAAGCTGGTGGGGCCGGGAGAGGCACGGGTGTCAAAGTTTGCAAGATGTTGAGGTTTTATCGGCGGCCAATCCGCTGCGCGAGATCCGCGCAAGAGAACGGGGATGTCGAGCCGATTAGAAGGCTCCAGAGTCGCGTACAATCGATCGACCAGCTTAGTGTAATGCTGCGACGCGAATTGGTACGCGCGTGGTCGTCGTCGCGCCGCGCGTAAATATCTCCGTTTTTACAATACTCATTCACGCGCACGGATTCTAGGACCGATACTTGGTACAAACCGGAGCATCCGGAGGGCAGCGCCAAGATTAGCAGAAGTGTGGGTGCGACTCACTTGGGTAAATATGAGATGCCTGCTATTTATATTCCGCGTTATATATCTCGTTATATATATATCTTCATGTAACGTACAGTCATGTATGTACGCATTTCCATATAAAATATGAAATATATAACAAAATATATAATGTAATACATAACATATAATGAAATTTATACATATACAGGGTGGTCCTCGTAACGGTCGCCACGATTTTTAAGGCACTTACAATAATCTGACATAAAAAAGCCTGTATACATATATACAAAACACACATAATAAATATATATTTAGGTATGATATATGTATTTTTTAATGTGTTTAGAGTATATAAATTTGTTAAATTTAATATTATAACCATGCATATAAATGTCTATTTGGTATATAATTGGAATTTTTAATATAAATTTTTATGAAAATAGTAAATGCTGATAGTATTTATTTCGGACATGTTTGATATAAGTGTGCATTTATTTATTATTCGATATTTGGTATAATTGGCTAATTAGTTAATAGTGATGTATCTTCATGTATCTTTTGAAAATGTGCAAAAGCTGTATTAAAATGCATCACTCCGCGTGTACTACGGCTTTTATACTAGGCCAGCTGCAACGGTATCTCTATATAGCTCTATCATTATTCGACGGAGTGCATTGCACGCATGTGCCACGAAGAATAATCGACTGGAAATTTTTTTCTTAATTTTATGATAAAACTGTTATGTATATTTCATATCTTGTTTGTTCTTTGAAATATATATTCGATATATTTTCTCAATAATTTTACGTGTGTGTGATTTTTGCAATATAGCGGTTAAGAAAATTGTAATGAGATATTGAACTATTTATAACTTGAAGAGTCTCTCAACAAAGAGAGAGAGAAAGAGAGAGCAGAATTATATTTGTTCATACATTCTGCCCATTCATATAAAATTATGTACTCTCGACGAGAAAAAAATTTGAGAATCAGTAATGTAAACAATTAAAATTTTTATTGTGATAGCGATTTGCGCTATGCGAAAATAATTCAAATATTAATAATTCTCAAAGCTATGAATAATGTATACTATATATACACATGTTATACAAATAAAAATTTGTAATATTCTTCGGTTTTGGAGATAGTAACAAATAAATTCAAGCAAAAAGGCAAAACGACTATTGATTGATTCCATCGCTTATAGAAAGGCTGCAAAAATTGATGAAAAAGAGGAAATTATGAAATACATACATGTCTCTCTCTCTCTCTCTCTCTCTCTCTCTCTCTCTCTCTCTCTCTCATACATAATATTATACTATGAATCTATCGTACTCTCTGCCGTAAATGTAAACTAAATTACACGTGATCTCATAATCATACGCGAATCATCGCTGGTATATGTTTATGATGTTGAACATGAACTTCTATCAGTTACAAGTTACATAATCAATTTTAATGAAATAACTTCTATTTAATTAGAACATAGAGAGCGGTAAGGATGAATAAAAAATATCAATAACTTCTCCCCTCCTCCCTCCCAGGGATATAAATATAAATTAATTTATATATATGCAGAGATGTATGTCTCTTTTGTATTTTATTTACGTAATATTAATGATCAAATAATAATTCAAATTTTACTCGCATCCAGATAAAACTATTCTGTCTCTTTTTATGTATTTACGCAAATTCAACACATATGTGTAATTATCTGTAATTATAGATAATCTTTGCGTGATTTGTTTTTTATACGATATTATTTTTCTATTGCATGCACAGCAATGTAATAGCAAACAATTTTCTTACATTATTGCAATTGTAACATACATTCTTACTAAAGGAATATATTGATTACATCGCGTTTATATCTTTTCCTAACAATATATTTGTGACTTTCAGACGTGCGTTGTTGTAAGTCTGTGGAGCAACGTAATTGGAACTATGGTGGAAGGCGGAAAAAGTAACATGCAGAACGGACTGCTCAGTAATGGAATTAACGGGTGAGTTTCTAACAAAATTATAGACTTTTGTCTTATATTCTGTAGTGACTTTCTAAATGTATAGTTTATAATAAGTTTTAAAGAGGAAGAACATGAATAAGCATCCCTCAACCTTCATTTGAACAATGAGTTTTCAAATTGTGTCAATAATAATATGTATATCGGAAAAAAGCGGAATTGACAGAAAATGGCTTTTTTACGGAGAAATCTGCAATGCCCAATTTTCTAGCCTGCGAAAATAATGCAATGTGCTCGCTTAGAATGATACATTTAGAACACACAACACTACTATAAGGTCGATCATCATTATTATCATATGTGGTAGTTCAATCAATGTTATCAGAATACCCTCCTCGATATGCTTGATGATGTTTTCATTTACTTTTTACTGAATTTTATCTTTGCATTTATGACGTTTGATATTTTAATCACGTAAATGCCAATACATATATAGGGCGTTTCTCAACAAACGCTCAATGCTCTTCCATTATTTTGAAGTTATCATTTCTTCATAATAAAAACTAATTGCAACGTTAATCAAGAAAAGAATACTGATTGAAAAATTGGTTGTTTTTTCAAAATATATTTATTAATTATTTATATATAAAATAATTTTTATCATAAAATATAATAATATAAGTTAATTTAGAGTAATATAACATCATATTTCTGAAAGATAAATATAGATATTAAATCGATTATATATAGACACACATATAGTTTAGGATCAAACAAAATTAACTGCAGAATATATTTATTTCTAAAATAAAAAATACAAATAATTAATATTGATGTACTGTGAAATTTTCACGATTTGCGCAAATCAATAACTTTGACCAGAGAACCATAATTCTTCCACGATAAGGTCAATTCAGAACCGATAATCGCCGATAATTTATTCCGTCTGATAGTCACCACAAACATAGAGTGACAGAGTGTACGTACCTCGGAATTTGAACTTTGTCGCTACAACATTTCCGGCGATACTCAAGCTTTAAACATTACATCTTCGATTTCCAGGAATTATATTGCATGTTCTATTAGGTAATAATCATGAGCAATCAATTCTTTATCATATCGATAATTTCGATAATTATTTTCGCAAAAAGTTGTTCAAACTAGAGCATAACAAAATAGTACAAAGTCATTGTACAGACATTTTATCGAACATGAAAAATAAATTCACACACAGTTTTCACAATATAAAATATTTTAATGAGTGTTAAGAAACAAATTCAATCGGAACGATTTCTTTTAAATCGATTCTTGATGCTAAACCTTGCGCTTAAGTGTTTACCTTGAGAAACACATAATAAAATTATCGTATAAACTAATCGCGTCTATGAAAAAAATCAATAGGAATATACTATACTGCCATTTAGAAAACTTTACCGCATGTATCACGAACGCAAAAAGATAGAACGATTAAACATTGTCAATAATGGAGAACTTTGCACCTACTCGATACTTGATTTCGTTCCGCATTATCTCATCCGTACACAGCATATTGATCTTCGAGCAGGTTTCAAGAGATATCATTTGAAGATTTCTATATAATCATTCAACAAAAACGATTTATTACTCACGCGTAAAAAATCTTATAAACAGGATAATAAAATAGATGTTTATCGTACAAATTAAATATTACGCTTACATAATAGATGTAGTATTGCATTACAGTTTTTCTTGACTATCCCAAGATAATTACTTCTCTCGTTGTGTGTTTAGAATTGTAAGAAAATTTACATTGACTTTACAAGATACAACATCTTTTTTTATCGTTTCAACCACAGAATCGGTTAATTTACATGAAATATTATATATTACACAATCGCAAAATTATAACTCTTTGTATAATTTATTTTACTCCGATCTAAAGAAATTTTTTTTGATGATCTCATCCGACTATCTCTTCTTTTTGCGAGAAAAGAAAAATAGAAAGACTCTATCCTTTTTTTATATTATGACCGATTATGCAAACCGGTTCGTGACGAGATTAATATGAACAGACATGGAATTTCCTTGCCGAGATTCCAACGGTTATAGCTTGACTAGCAAACGTTAAGGAGCATTTTTTATAATGTTCACATGTGCGTATGTGTGCTGCATAATAAGCAATTTACGGCCATTTGCATAATTGCGATGACCCAGAGAGTGGAAATACGCCCGTCAACATGTAATAATCCATCTTAAGATACTTTGTTTCAAAGTACGTTATCACGATTTTTCTCATTTGTCTCTATGCGAGTTATCCGATTTATCTATTGTTTATTGTATTTATTACAATCGCCGGTTTCGGTACGTTACTTAAAACAACTGTGAGTAAATTAATATTATTAAATATAACTCTCGAAAATGCTCTTTTATTTTTTTTCTTATATTACAAATGTTTTCGATTTATTATTTTTTTATGTCACAAGCAATTTATCTTTAATTATTCGCCGAGATACATATAAATTCCACGCGCGTCCAGACAATGGACAGTATATTGCGGATAATGCTATTATAACTTTTAATTAATTGTCCTTTTAATTATGCACTTTTAATTAACTAGTGCTGTGATATCAGATGGGAACAAAGTGCCTGCCGATACAATCAAGTAGGTCGCTAGTGAAATATCTATGCGTTTCTGCATCACACTGTTATCATGCTTATTGAAGATTTGTTTAAGGACTTTGCGCTTCTTATTGTGTAAGCGACGTTTACTTCGGCTACTGTACATTGTAAATTACTCTCGGAATGACTTTATCGATAGTAACCAGCCGTGGCTCTGCAAAAATTTATCTCACGCCAGTCATTTTTTCGCTAAGGTTCCTAATATTTGGTCATTTCGTCAATATTACAAAATTTTACGATCAATATCTTTTAGAATAAACGCTTCGCTACATTTGATAAATCAAGATAGAAAGATAAGGATACAACTGGACGATTATAACTGTTTTTTATTTGTCAATGAATCAGTTAACAGATAATTCTTTTATTCGTAAAATTCATAAATTTTTTATCGTTCTTTAAATCGTTCCTTAACAAACATTTTGTAGTAGTTTTTATATCGCTATAAAATGGTAATTATTTTTTTACTTTTATTTATATTACTTACTACTTTTATTTATATTACTTGCTATTTCTTGGAATATTTTATGTAGATTAAGACTTGAATTATGTAAATATATAAATGATAAATAGTTAATAAAAAATAGACACACACACATACACACATAAATAGCATTTCGTAATAAAATGTTAAAGATATAATTTATGATAAATAGCTTTAATTAATGTTGACGCAGTGTTTATATGTTCTTTCCTCTCTCTGGTAACATGTTAGAAAAATATTTTATCTCAACATTATTTATAAGATTACGTTCTTAAATAAGCGCTGCTAAGAAGATATCTCTGAATTTTTAATAAATTTAAATAAATTTCTAACGATGCACCAGCATATTTAATCATATATATGTAATTGTAGCGAAAATTAATTGCATAGATGCTGCAATAGGTACCGTTAGCATTTATATCACATAAAATTGCTCGTTTTCTCTTCCCTTTTTGAAATTGTTGTGCAACCTACAGTTCTACACTGCTGCACTTGGAAATAATACTTTGTCTATGCTTCAATTTTGTGATTATTCCATTTTCTTCGCGAGTTTCGCAATCTCTCATAGTTTTTCGTATGTAATTTTATCGTATAATTTCCAACAGAAAAAAGATAGCTATTGACAAAAGTGTCACGTTCGCAATAACGTGTCTAGAATCTCTGAATTATAACATATTTATCGGGGGATAGCAAAACAAAAATTTACTATCTCTCTTTATATATATCTTTAGTTTTTTTTTCTAAATTTATTTTATATTTCTTCATCTTCTTAAATAATCTATTTCATTTTCATAAACTGAAATAAAAATTTGATTGCATTTCGTATGACTGCAATAACACTTGAGAGAGAAAGAAAAGATTATTTCATAATTCTTATTGCGTTTAATTACTATTAATAACATAAACAAGAATAATTAAGTTATTAGCTAATTACACGCGGTAAGCGTTATATTATATTATTTCGACAAAATACATAATCTCCGAAATTATACATATGTAAATGCATATTTTATGTTCCATCTTTTTTTGGCACCATCAACCAATCAGGAAAAATAAATATCTTTTATAATTAATTATTACGCTTTATTTTATGTTTTATCGATTGTCGATTAACATAAAAATTTAGCTTTTATCTTAACTTTATCGCGACAATTATTTTGTTGCAGCGTGACGCGGATAATGTTTTAATAAATTGGTACTCGTTTACAATCTATTTACAATCTGTACTTATTGTTAGTACAATATATTAAGATTTTTATTTTTTTAATATCTGGGAAAATATGGGAAAAGTGAATCTGTCAATGTCAAAAAAAAAATAAATAAATTTTAAATAGTAATAATAAGAAAACCTTATTATTATTTTTATATTCTGCATTCTGTATGAGTACAGATACAAAACGTGACAGGATATGGTCGTAAATGTGCCGAACTTTCAATCTTGTAATGCGGATCATAATACGGTTTATTGTGTTTGATCAAACGCGCGAAAAATATAAATTGCATTTAATGAATACATAAACGTGTCTATGACGTAAAGTACATATAATTTTGCTGTCGATCGATTTGCAACCAATGCTTAACCACCAGTCTTCCGGTGATCATTCAGAGTACAGAGTATTCAGATTTCAATTAACACATTAAATAAATGTACTTAATCTTAAAGTAATATAATTATTGATCGGTCAATTTAATCATTTTTAATATTTGCGTAATTTCAAATATAGAGTTATTTAAATATAACGAACAAAATTTCTTTAGATGTAATAGGGTATACTCTAGAGATTTCTGTTTAATTATTAGATTTTTTAATTATTAAACATACTAATAATAATTGCAACTGTTAATCAATTGTCAGTCTCATATTCCTATTAAATCATTGTCCACTTACGTCAATATATTAAAGACGATCCTTTAATGGTGTTAGTCCATAACTCTACTGCATTATAAATGAATGTATGACGTACAAACTAACTCACACCATATATAGCTGTGGAAAGTTCTCAAAAATAATGCTATTGCGTCTATTTTCTTATCATCGATTGCGATTTGTGAGCACGGAACGCAATAATTTCACTTAATAATCCCATTTGCAGATTAATTTCGAGCATGCGATAAAAATGCTCTTCCAGGATATCATCTCATCGAAGTTGCAAATTAAAATAACATTTCTTTACTTTTATCATGGCAGCTATGTGATGATGTTATCTGTGGTAACTCGGCTCATTCTGATAATAGCTGATAATAGGTTTAAATGGCAGTGTATACTTTGTCCGAATCCTAAAAAAATTTTCCGACCCAGATTATGCTCTTTTCTTTTTTTATATTTTTACTACACACTTCTAATACGCAAGTCATTGTCTATCGTCGGACAATATTAATTAGTTTTACTCTTCGATACAAATCGAAATATTAATGCAGATACTCTCATTCTGCGGCAATAAACCGCGTGATGTACTATGTAATGTATCGCTCGCAAATTCCAAATATTCCAGATAGTTGACTGGCAATAATAAAAATCGAGACGTGTCATCAATGAAAATTACACCCATACGTATAATCTTTTATTAAAAAAAAAATAATAATAATAAATTAGGGAATGAGAGCCACAACAAATTGAAAAAGATGACTAAATCTTTTTGGAAAATGTCATTAATATTATCAACGATAACATCCGTGTTTTTGTCAATGGGGACTTTGATCTACCGATAACGTTGTTCTCATGCATCGTGAATGCCTTCTTTCATGATCGCATAGCGCATAGTGGAAAAAGGGAAGAGAGACCGTGGAATACGAGAAGGGGGAACGAGACAAAAAGGGATGCGACGTCAGCGATCAATGGCGGTGGTCGCGATGCTGTCGCGGCTTTTAAGTCAGTTGGTCTCGAACCGTCATAGCGAGTACACGTGAGAGGGAGGTGTCAAGCGGCTCTTTTGTCTCCCCACCAGTTATACCTACTGCAAGCTTTGTTATGGGAGCATAATCCGGTGTATTTGAAAATCGCAACGCGTTGCGCGCTATTCGGGAGTGCGCCGCGACACATGCAGCCGTACAGATCGAACGTGGTGCTATCATTATCGATCACCTCATCGCGCGCTTCGGAGAAACAGATTAGGATGCGCTTTGTTGCATCTCAAGGCTAGTTTCGGTGTCCGGGAAAGTTTCTCCAACAACGTACAAAGAAGTATCGCATAAAATTACGAATGCGTCGGACCGTGTAAGAGTCAGTGTACATTAAAAAATTGCTCTTTTTCCTTCTCTTTGTTACAAAGAAATATTTCAAAGTTTTTGTTATAATATTTTAAAAATAGAATTTTTAGATAGACGTTCTTGTGTAAAAACTGATTAAAAAGAACTCTCTGCATCAACTGACCTTTTTTTTTACTGCACTATATTACTTTGTTTCGGAGCTTTTTATTGCGTAGTTTAAATTCTGAAGAAAAAAAAATTTACATCAAAATCTTTTGATTGACAGGTTTTGTATAAACGCGAATAAAATATAAACGTAAAAAAAATTTATGTGCAAATTTTATGTGCGATAATAAAACGATCAACAGAAGTTTGGAAACTATTCGCACTGTTTTATAAAACATTAATTGGCAAATCGATGTACATTTATAATCTATATGTTTGCTTCCTTTTCTCATATGCTAATTTTGTATTAAATTAGATTCATATGACGTATAACCTTTTTACGAGATGCTCATATTCAGTATTATATGCTACTAATGTATATGAAATTACGCGTTTTTAATGTTCTTATATAATATTCTAGCAATGTAAATCTTCACATTGCGCGTAAATAAATCTCTATCATCTTTAATAAAGATTAATAAACTATGTAAATCATATATAATTATCGTGGTTGATTGTTTTATATGTATGATTTATATTGTGATGAAAAAGCTAGTGCTGATACTGCAAGCGTGTTTATATCTGACGGATGATGAAATGACATTCAACGTGTTATAGAAATGTAACAATTTCTCTGTTTTCTTTCCTTGTTACTTACGCGTTGCTCTTTCAAAAATATTATTAAATATTTTTTGTAACTTTTCATGGTATAAGATCGTCATGAAACAAGATTTTTTTAAAAGTTGACGCTTTGTTTGTAAACATTTACGGCAAAGAGATTTGAAAGCAAACTTATCTAAATCGTTAAATCGTCCACAAATATTGAAAAAAAAAATATATATATATATATAAACAGAAGTTCGTTATTAGATCAAACTTGCTCCGAATACAATATATACATTTAGTATAAGATTAATTTTTTCCCTCTCCCAAGTAATGTATTTGAAATGTATAAAACGTTTGCATGGAAAGCGAGGTGCATTGCATTATACGAATGATATTGCAGGCAGTGATAAATATCAGTGGGAAATCGTTCGTTTTTTACTTTCGTGAACACAATAACATTGATCTCGCAACAAGCTAGTAAGATCGGGACAAACTTTGATTGGCATTCGGGAAAGAAAACGTGAAAGGAAAACTCATTGAAAAATGACGCTTGAGGGAAATTGCTCGACGGAGGATGACACCAATCGAGTTTTGTTCCAATCCAGGAAAAACTCGATGGTGCGGCTGCAGATCGTGCCGGCGCAGCCAAAAACTATCACGCACCTGCCAAAGAGACCACCAGTCGATTTGGCTTTCACCGACCTCACCTATAAGGTCCGAGAAGGCCGCAAAAATAGTGAGTACACATTTTCCACTTAATATCAATATTTTAATCCACAGAAAATTGCGATGAGAACCATATACGCTTTTCAATTAAATGTTTGCAATTAAAATATGCATGAGAAGATAAATCTGTATCATATCTTTTCCATCAGACATGTCTATTATTGTAATTGTTGTACATCATACATACATACATACATACTAAAATAATTTTATACTTTCATGTTTCACAATTCAATATACAGCAAGAAGCGTCACATGATGTTATGATATCACTTTTGATAAAATCTCGAATTTTGGAATTTGAACTTTACTTTGTAAATAGTTATATCATTTTTTAAATAGAGATGATATATGTATATGTACTCCATTCTCTATTCTCGACGCTGGTTATGTCGTTATGCATAGAATGTTGACATTCGAAGAAACAAAGATAATTCTTTGTTCTATGATATAGAAGATTAATCAAGCATAAGATTCGCCAATTTATTTATAATTTTTAATTATATTTTATATGCGCGCATAAAATATCAGGATCAATTTTTCAATATTTATTATATAGATATCGTTAAATTGCATAAAAATGTTTATTAATACATTCGAACTGTTGTAATTTAACAAAGATTCTTTAAAGGTCTCTATATTCCGATTTGAAATTTTCATACTATTGGCACACATGCGGCTAACATATTTCAGGTTTGCGGTAATCAGATAAATTTTATGTGGTTAGACAAGGCCAAATTATAAAATTTTAATAAATAATATGCTATATGTGTTGGCAAGAAATGATAAAAAACTAACGACTAGAACTAACATAATATTTAAACTCTAGCCAATTAAGCATTAGCCATGGCACATTCAGATAGTGATGTGATATGTATGTGATGTAGTAGAAAAAGTAGTAGTCGTATGAGAAAAAGTCGTAATAATCGTAGAAATTACATCGTAAATCACATGGTGTGCCCACATACCGCCCTTGAACTGCATTCCACATGCGAATATTATTCGAATTCAACATGGCCAAGTCATGTGAAAAAATTTTATATTTTTTTGAATTCTTATACTTGTTTTCATAATGGCCTAATAAATATATATAACTTATATGGAAATCTCTCTTTAATTATTTCCTATAAAACACTTAAAAACGCACGAAAATGTGTTTTGTTTACATATGCATCTTATATATATATATATGTACTTAAAAAGATACATGTTTTTTCCGTGCGAATACATTATCATATATATGTTATCTACTTCCGTATACTAATTTGCTTAATATATTGCAAGGTTTTCGACGAAACATTCAAGATATTGTAATATTAATATAAAATACACATCAAAAATTGCATGTAGATTGTATACAAGTCGATAGATAGAATAGTAGAATGAATTATATATTTGTTATTTTGAAAAAACAGACAAATTTGACCAAGTATTTAATGTCAAATTTAATAATTTTCTTTATTTTGCGGTATATTTTCCTATTTATATTTCTATAAAATGCAAGACCTAAAATTTTTTTGTTATGCTAAAATTTATCGATTCTAGTAAAATTGTAATTTTCTGATCTATGTGCATATCACGTGCACAAAGAATTTTCAATCGCAAATTGTCGAATACTCAAGCATAATAACTTACTGTTGGATCGAATCTATAATTAGAAGTACTAATCAAAGTTTTATCTTGCACTTACTAGCAATGTTTCTAATTGCGAGTGGCAATAAATCTCCCATTAATATTTTTACGTTTTTCATGTAAAATATGTTTTTCCAATACGCGCGTACTAATAATAGATAAATCTACAATTTACAAGCATTGTCAGAGTTGTGAATCTTACGGATCTTTTGCATGTCAAAGAATTGCCAACGGATTTTGTACTAGGCTTTTTTTCTTCTTTTTTTGTAGCCTTCGCATGCAAAAACCTGTCGTTAACTGCCCCGGACGTATCGGTCGTTGTCAAGCGTGATAAATGGTTGCAAACTGGTTTCCGATGACATTGACCACCGAGTGAAAGTGCATGCACGCACGCCAATTGCGTGGAAGAAATGCGTTTCCGCAGCTCCGTAATGCGGTGCAATGGCATGCAACGAACGCTCCGTGAATGCATTTCAGGGGGCATTCTTATCAGAATGTAATGTAGACGGTACACGTGATAACGATAGTTTAAACGCAGCGAACGTATGACACATGTGAATGACTGTCCGTGTTTTTTTGAACATGAGCATATTTCAGAAATTTTTTTCAACGCATATATTTTCATTAATTTAATTCAGACGCAAACTAATATTACTAAGGACACCTGTTATACTTAATGTCAACACATTGCTCTCTCTCTCTCTCTCTCTCTCTCTATATATATATATATATATCAGATCAATAATTTAATAATAATACTAACAATACGAAGTCTTTTGTATCAACTACATACTCACATACTGCGTAATCGATTTTCTATAGCTGCCTTTGTATCGTGGTCAGATTCTATTTGCAATATATGACATTTTGCCTCATGATGTGGATATACACGCCATAAGCTATGTAGTATATTTCAATTATTTATAGACATATGATAGCATTCATCTGTTGCCTTTTTTCTTTTTATAGTTCGTATAGAGGTATTTTCGCAATATAAATCACCTTTTGCAAATGATATTCTTAAGTTGCAATCATGTGTAAGAAAATTGTATTATAGAATTAAGTTGTGCGTATATTTGTTGAAGTTATTGAAATTTTATTACAAAATTAGGTCATTGTGTAACGCGATTAAAAATGCCTTGCTTCCTTCTTTTTTTATATGAGTCAATGATTCAAACTTGATATTTTAATTTGCAAATGAATAATTTTAGTGATGTAAATATGTATATGTCACTCAAATTGCGATTATTGATATTATCCGCTGTAACATCCAGAAAAATCTGAATAAAGATTCCGATTAATTGCACATCACAGATAATAATCACATCAATAACCACAATTTTACAAAATAATCTATTATGACATAATATCTCATATCAGACAGGATATGTTAATTACATTGATTTGTAATCTAAACTCTTGAAAAAAGAACAGATAAATTTGATTTAATGGCCGCGTAAATGCCTAATATACATTCAAATTATTTAAAATATTTTAAAGAACAGATTGGTTTAAAAAAAAAACATCACGATTATATTTCTCTTTGTAAGTATTAATCTCAAGCGGTGTAAATATTATTCGAAGAGTCTTTGTTCTTCTTATCGTAGCTTTCAAGCTTACAAGTGAATTGTTCTGCTTGCAATAGCTATAGTAGGATAAAATTCTGTTTCACCGGCATTGACTGCTCGCGACTCATCACGTTCAGATTCTGATTCTCGAATTAGTCACCATTTTGATGAATAATTTCACATCGATCAAAAGGATTATTTTACGATCTAGAAAGAGAAAGTCGCTATGAACGTCGCTATCTGAACGCTATGTATAACAGATCACAAATATATGAAATAATGATAAACTACATTTCAATCGTGCAATACTTTGAATATCAAGATTTAAATATTTATTGCATAATGCATTTTGCTATGATGCAATCTTTGTTGAAGAAGTAGGAAATTAACTCTGATGGCCTTGATGAACCGTTTAAAAGTTGAGATACAGCTGGCCACGTAATCCAGGATTATTACGTTATTCTAGTAATGCTACCTTGCAGATGGGCTTCCGTAATAAACTCATTTTGCTGTCAAGCATAGATAGAATTAAATATAAAATGATAGCATTTTTCATTTCATTTTTTCAGTAATGCAAACGTAATATTGATACTATATATCACGGTTTTCAGATCAAAATTAATTGCTTAGATGTTTCTACAACTAGCAATAAATCAAAGAAAAAACACAATATAATACATAACACTTTATACCAGAAGATTTTGCTGTAGGCGTAGATGCGAATCACAAACGATAATTATTGTCCGTGCCTGAATAAATATATTGAGTGATACTTCAATATATGATATTAGATAATTCTTATCGTGAAACACGCAGTAAATATGCATTCATGGATGCGCACACGAATGTTTTAATATTCTTATTTTTTAGGATGTCTTATCTCGAAAATTATTGATAAATATCAATATATTGAGTGATACTTCAATATATTAGATAATTCTTATCGTGAAACACGCAGTAAATATGCATTCATGGATGCGCACACGAATGTTTTAATATTCTTATTTTTTAGGATGTCTTATCTCGAAAATTATTGATAAATATCATTGTTTCATATACGAAATGATATGTCTAATAACTCACTAGTTTGGTTTGACTTATCTACAAAAATGCGCGCAAGATATATATATATATAATTGTGTATCTCTCTTGGTAAAAAAATATTTGATTGGATAAATTTAGTCATACGTATAGTACTTGAAAAGCTTTACGTTTTTAAGAAAAACAATGATGTATCGCTGATAAATTGATACCAGTTTGGACAGATATCACAATACACGTAAAAAGCACGTGCTGCATTTCGGTTCACATTTGTCGGCTTACATGTTGCAATGCGAAAGAAATGCAATAGCCATTAAATTGAATATTTTTCTCATCGGCTTAAAGAATGAAATACATTATCTATTTAGGGTAATAATATGACCTATATCTTCGCGTGCCTGAACGATGGCAATGTGCGCAATAATGAAATATCGAACAATAATTGTATATTATATTATTCTTCTCTTTTATATTCTATTACTGGTTATCGTTATGTTACCATTGAAGCATCATTTTTCCACCCCATAAAACTTTATATCTCATTGCTTCACCAATGTGATATCCACGCAATAAAATATAAATCGGTGAATCATAAATTAGCAAGGCGACATTCTTATCGAATATCCTTGCTCGCGATAATCATTTTCCTTTCAAAGTCGTTGAAATATTTATCAACAATGTAATAAAAATAGTAACACAAGTTAAAAGCCTTGAGTGCACGCGTTTGATAACTTCAAACTGATAATTTCGACTTTGCCTCGATTTTTAGAGGTTTTTGTTCTCTTATCGCAATACTCAAAGGGATTTCATTATTATTGTATATTAACAAAATATTCTATTCCACTTTTTGAAATAGAGAGAGAGAGAGAGAAAGAGAGAGAGAGAACATTCCTACAAAATATTTTTTAAAAATTTTATTCTTTAAAATAATTATAATTATCTCAAGAGATCAACAAATTGTGTAGGGACAATTTCATGTGTCGGATATTTTCTCTTGATTATCGTTTTAAATTTATATTGAAATCATTGTTGTTATACAGGAGACAGATAAAATACGATTCTTGCCTATATGGCAGATATTACGATATACTTTTACGAGATTATGTTGCAGCGTTTTGATATGACGTGAAGCATTATTGCGCTAGTCAGAAGATTGCAAAATTAAATGAAGAAAGTCCAGTATGGCCTTATGAAGACAAATAGGTGGGCATAAGATTTTGAGGTTTCTTCGTCTATCTGACTTTCTCTCTCTTTGGCTCTTGCTATTTTATTTACACTCACAGATATATGCGCATAAAGACACACCCGCATATATATACACATACACATGTATATACATAGGTATATATCCCGTATATACGGTGTGAGCAATCGGAGTAATTTAAACGCTGTAAGCCACCATGTATGTCATAGAAAGATTTTTGCAATCCATGGTTTGCGTAATTCGGCGCGCAGCCTCTTGTACGCTCGAAATTGACAAACTTGATTCACCTCTCTCTAGATCCTCTCTCTCTCCGCGTAGATCCAAGTTAAAGGATTGTTCCCCTATGATCTGCAATATTACATTCTGCGTACATGGCCAATCAACGGCACACAATGGTGCAATTAGCGGCACGTGAGCTTTGATATATGTGGGAAGAAGATATTTACGTTGCATTTTTCAAGTCATAAGAAAGCGCAGCATAATCATTCCAAAATTTTAAAGAATAAAATTATGACAGAATTGCGTAACAATATCCGGCAAAATTTAAAATGTAATTAATGGAAAAATAATTTTATATGTATATAAAATCAATGTGTTACATATAATTGTAATAGTTACGATCATAATATTGTACATGCAAGCACATTTATCATTAGGTGATAAACTATCGTAGCTGGAAACTATCTTACAAAAAGCAATAAATTTGCATTAACTTCATGCATGAACATACAGGATATTTCAGAAATCACGCACTTCCTCTTGATTAAAAGCCAAACAAAGAAAAATGTTATCGGAATCATTTGAAATATCAATAATGCTTATATCTGGCAAATATAAAGATTGATATATGTATATTTTAAATGGTTATACGATAATTAATGTTATGGTTAACAAAAACAAAGTTTTATTTGTCATATAATCTAAAAAATAACATATTATGTATCTGTCATAATAGAAAAGATGCATTACAATAATGAATATGTATGAGAATTTTTGAAAATAAAAATACACATCGACAATCTCATAAAAACCAAGTTTTTAATTAACTACTATATTAATTATTGTAGTTGACTGCGTAAATTCTAGAAATATGTTTAATATTCAGGAGTTTGCATATATATGACTATTAGTTTTATCAATTGATCTATGATCTTAAAATTCCTGTGCACAGTCTTAATATGTTTATATAAATCTGATTGGAACCGGTTCACCTTGGCTTGAAACAAAAAAGCATTTTATTATGTCATTACGATTTTATGCTTCTTCGCAATGTTCGGTTCGCAAATATTTGCGTACATAGCAAGCAATCGAATAGTTATATGAAGGTACTCTTATAGGTGACGTGACAATGGAGGTATTTATCTTCGTCACAGAATATTAAGTTACCACTTTACGTGCATACGTTCTTATAACAAAACGTGACATTAACGCAAAACATATATGAATGTAATGCGGAACGTTTCTTTACGCGATTATTTCACAAGTATTGCTTTTGTACAATATATTTTGTACGAATTTGTAAATGAATGAAAATAAATGGCCCTTTTTGTTATCTTGTAAATACAAACAATAGAAAATAAAAAAAAAAAAAAAAAAAAAAAAAAAAAAAAAAAAAAAAAAAATCGTGCAATACTTTGAGCTTTTAAAAACTAAAATATTCTTTAAGTGACCTTCATTTATTATAATTGAAAATTTATAACATCAATTTTTGTTGTAGTTTTGATAGTAAGATTTTAAAGTCAAAGAATAGTCCATTCTACTCTTAGAACTAGAATTTATTGTTTCACTGATTATATAGTTTGTGACATAGGAAATGATATTCAAAAGTCTTGCGATTATAATATACTGACGTTGACGGCGTTCGTTATTTTTTCTTGGGGCAAGCACTGCAATAGTATTTTAATTTTTTTATTTAGACCAACTGTTTCTGATTGTGGACTGCAATTGCGAAAGCGCCGTTTAGCCATTATCTATCTATAATTTTGAAATAAGAACACTAGAGTGAAATCAAGATACTTTATAAACCGGGAGGTCAAGTTATACCACATCGTGCGATGTATAGAATGGGCGGATCCTCGTATACTATCACGGTTAATGCGTATTGCGTCAATTGAATATTGATAAATATCTTTGTTTTATTTTATATAAATTATTTTGCGCTAATTAATATTCGTACAAATAGAAAACTTCTACTTTAAAATTTAAAACATTATACTTACTGAATGCTGTTTTTTGAAAAACAGTTTGTTTGTTTGATTGTAGTTTGCAAGAAGTAAAATATAATTTTCGATGACAGATAGAATAACAGAAACCAACTATAAATATACCAGTTTGAAGGAAATTTTATGGACAGAAATTTAAATTGGTTATTTTGAATATATTAAAACATTTTTATATAACATTGATAAGATGCAAATATTTTATATTTTATGTTTGATAATATGCGAGATATTTTTCTCTAATGTATCTTCAAATTAATAATATTTTAATGAAAATATTTTTTCCGCATATATATTTTAATTTAAATTTAAGATATTTATTAAAGTACATCCTGCATATATATATACAACATGTATAAAATAAATATTATTTATTTAATCAAAAAGCTCTCATATTTTTTAATTATATAATATGCATAATAAATTACGTTTCTTATTTTTTTACTAATTTTGATATTAGAAAATAAAATTGTAAAATAGAAATTGTGTCAAATCAATTTTTCTAATTAATATAAAAAAAATAAAACGGTATATAGAAATTAAGTACATATGTACATCTGCTAATTATTATCAAAAACAATCTTAATTGCTCCACTTTTTTATTATTGTAAAAATTATCTAACAATAGGAATAATTAACAATCGAATTTGAAACAACTTGACTTTTATCTTGTAATCAACGAGCTCATCAATTAAAATCGCTCTTCTGGCCTTGCGGTTACATATGAGTCACACAAGCAATGTTATATACGCAAATATAATATAGCGTGTGAGCTTATTCTGGACTTTGTCCTGCTCTCTTTGTTCGATATCCCGAGCACACATTATATATTAATAGTTGATGTCACAAAAAGCAGAGATTATGCTTATGCCATCTCGGTACGACGGTCAACTTTAACAAATGTGACTAATAATAATCGTTTAAAAAAGTATTTAATTCTGATTAATTAGTAAGTGCTTAATTGTGAGAATATCATCAATACACGTAACTATTTACCTATTTATTTACGAATATAAGCGTGCCGTAAGCTTGTTATTCACAAGGTATATGTAAACATTTTAATCTAAAAAACATTTGCGTTTATCAGTTAATAATGATTTATTAAGCAAATATTTTCGGTTATTCTTTATTATATTTTTTACACAGTTGCATATTATTTCTTAATAAATGTTTGTTAAAGAGCGTTCTCGTTACATGTTTTTTTTTTTTTTTAATACTATGCATTTCATCAAAAATGCCTTTTGCAAGATAAGATTGTTTAATTTAGTGTTAGTTAAATCAGATTGTTGTATAGCAGATAGCAAGTTCTTTTCACATGGATTTAACAATTTTATTTGATTTTTAGATGCGAAAACGATTCTCAAATCCGTCAGCGGCAGACTGCGATCCGGCGAGTTGACGGCTATTATGGGTCCTTCTGGTGCAGGAAAGTCGACACTCCTAAATATCCTTACCGGATACAAGTGAGTCAATAAGTGCTTGTGAAACTTTTACGATACAGTTATCATTAATAAAATTATATTAGCGTATCAAGTAGACTAATATAGTTTTATTATTAATGATATTGAGAATACGAAAAAGACTAATGCGCGTAAAGATATATGCTCAGTTTAAATAAATATAAACTTGCGCAAGTTAATATTGTGCATTATTTGATACTTATATCATTAGCTTGCAATGATATGTATTTTGCAATTGACGTATGTATTCCTACATTCAAATAGACACAAATAAGCTGGTAAAAATTAATAGGTAAAAGTCCACTCTTATTCATTCTGTATCAGTGAATAAGCTACTGCTTATTTCATGACTCACACATGTATTTTTATGTGCATACAACATTGTTCTAATTACTTTTCCACATTGTTAAATTCTATTTTAAAAAAGTCACAAGAATTATTTGTTCAAAAATAATGAGTCATAAATTACTTACCCAATTTATTTCCCAGGGCTATTTTCGTAAATTTACAATTAAATTTTTTATTCTAATCGCATTTAATCGTCATCATAATATCTATCGAATTATCGATTATTATTTAATGCAATTTATTGCAATATAATAATATAAAATGTATCCAAATATTCAGTATGTATTAAATAATAGTATATATTAAGAATTCTCATTTTTCAAAAGCATTTTCAAAAGAAAGATCAAATATTTAAATAGAATTCAACCAGAGATTCTTTGCGTAATTTATCCAATCACCAGAATACTCAACCTCTTCCACTATAGCATTTGCGAAGAATTTCGTCGGAACTCGCGCTTTCTTAAAATTTACGTCAGATTAGCCACAACGCCAAGTGTGGTAGATATTTCCTGTGTGAAATTCCCGAGCCTGTCGTTCATACATCAACAAACAAATATGACATATATAAGGAAAAACGGCAATAACGTTCGGACGTACGTTTTTTTCCCTTTCTCTCTGCGAAAATTGGTACTTTGACTTCAAAGTTTGCGACACGTTACTAAAATACCTTAGGTATTCGTGCGAATTTGTATGTGTGCATTACCATAAACCGACCGCGCTGCGGGAAGATTTCGTCGTACGTACATATAATCTTGGCATGACCCCGTACTTTCAGTTTTTATCCCAATGATTTCGCTTTCTTCGCCATACTGCGCGATCTCACTTTCTTCGACGAAATACGAGTCTCACTTTCTTCGTGTTTTTGTGTCCTTACGGAACTGCTTCGAAACAAGAATATTTTTCGCCGGTGATTACAAAATTAAGGAGACAATTAAAAAATTATATTTTTATGTGATAGGATCGAAATATGCGTGTATGTGTATTTCACAGTTTAATTGTTATCGTGTAATTTAGTTATATGGTATTAAAATCGCCTTCCGAGAATATTTTATTGAATAAGCTGACAAAGCACTGAATGTACACTTTCTACTTCGATGTATTGTCTTCGGTTGGCTGACTACTACAGAATGTTTTGCTTGACGAAACAATCTATTCGGATTTCTTCAAGAATCCTGAAAGAGTTATGTATAGATTGCTGCAGATATAATTGTCCAACAAAAATTTATAGATTTATTTAATTTATTATCAATATTTTTAAATAAAATAGTACAGTTTTATAT